TTACCCAGGCTGGAGTGCAATGGCGCGATCTCGGCTCACCGCAACCTTCGCCTCCTGGGTTCAGGCAATTCTCCTGCCTCAGCCTCCTGAGCAGCTGGGATTACAGGCACGCACCACCATGCCCAGCTAATTTTTTTTGTATTTTTAGTAGAGACGGGGTTTCACCATGTTGACCAGGATGGCCTCGATCTCTTGACCTCGTGATCCACGCGCCTCGGCCTCCCAAAGTGCTGGGATTACAGGCGTGAGCCACCGCGCCCGGCCATATATATACATATATATACACAAACACACATACCTATATATATGGGGGCTTGGACACAAAGATGCAATAGGGTCCTCCAGGTTTTGTAAAACCCACCATTTATAGAATTATTGATTAGTGAGTTTTAATAATTTAATGGTGAGAAAATGTCAGTTTAAAAATATAAAGTGCATCGAAATCTATGAAAACTTCCTATCCACCTCTGCGCCCAGCCACACAGTTCTCCTCCCTAGCAATAACACCATAGCAGTTCCCTGTGTCTGTTTTCAGAGGTGATGTGTGGTGCACGCACAGGTGGGCAATGACACTTCCCACCTGCTGGGAGTACTACCTTTAAGGGATTTAGAATGAAGCAGAGCTTCCAGCACATCATACAATGGGGAACTCTTGAAAATGGCTGGGAAATGGAACATCTTCAGCACTATTGATATTTTGGGCCACAATGTTCATTGTCCCAGGAGGTGGGAGTGGGGAGGGAGCTGTCCTGTGCACTGTAGGATGCTCAGCAGCAGCCCTGGCCTCTACCTACTCGATGTCAGGAGCACGCGGCTCCTCCCACTCCAGTTGTGGCTACCAAAAATGTCCCCTGAGGAAAAGGGAGTAATATCATCCCCCGTTAAGAACCACTGTTCTAAACCTTGTGTAACATCTGTAGAAAACTGGCAGATAAGAGAAAAAATGTAGAAGGTTCAAAGGGATAGGAAAGATAAATCTGTGAAGGCAAGGGAAAGAGCCTGTAGTCCTCAGTTACTCAGGAGGCTGAGGCGGGAGGATTGCTTGAGCCCAGGAATTTGAGGTTGCAGTGAGCCAGGATTGTGCCACTGCACTCCAACCTGGGAGACAGAACGACACCCTGTTCCCAATGAACAAACAAAAATCTCAAAGATTATTATTCTGTAACTATTGAAAGAATATTTTCATGAAGGATGGCAATAATCAGCTTTCTATCTCCACACAGGGCAAAATAAAAAGTAGGTTTAAATGGAAGAGAAATTAAAACTGGATATACAGATGATTAAATATTTACAGTGGCCCCTGAATGGCAGTTTCTTTCCTAAAGATCTTCATGAGCAGAATAATCTAGGATGGCTAGGAATTGTTCCCTCAGGGCTTTGTGGTTAAAAGTTCAGAATCTTCAAGTAACGAAACTTGCATTTAAAAAATTAGCCCAAACTGTTTATTCCATAATCATATCTACATGGTGGTTTTAAGAAAACAACTTTTTTCTTGGTGGAAAAATTAGAAAATATCACTAAGCTTAAAAGAAGAAAAATATAAAACACTGTTAATCCCACTAACCAGGGAGATACCATGTTTGATACTTTAGTGAATTCATTTCCTAATAATTTCCTATGTTGTTCGTAAAGGTATATGTGTAGATATAAATGTATTACACCTATATAGAAACAATGGATCACTCAGCAAGCACATAATGCTTGGAAGCTTCAATTTTTCCATTTAATCCACTGCAAATGTCTTTTTCCATTCATAAGTATGTACCACCATATTATTTTTGATTCTTCCACTGCATAGATGTCTCATAATTTAAAACACCCCCTGTTTTTGGAGATTTAACTTGCTTCCAGTGCTTTGAGATCATAAATAATATTGCAGCAAACTTTCCCTAATCAGGGGTTTGCATACCCTTCTTCCCCCACCCCCACCCGCCCCCACGCTCCAGGGCAGATTCTTGGACATCAAGTTGCTAGAGCAAAGGATACCAACAGCTGTCGCTCCCTGAGTAATTGGTGAAATTGTATTTGTAAGGCATTTGGTAGGAAAAATGCTGAACAGACCACCAGAAAATTGCTCAATTTGCATTCCCATGGGTGGTATTGGTTTTTGCTTTTTTTTGTTTTGTTTTTTAATCTTTGCTAAATTGACAATTTGAAAGGCGAGGTTGGAGGGTGTTCAGAGAGCTGTCATTCTGTTGAGAATTGCAAAGGCCCAGTTATGGGCCTTGTCTGAATTGCCCGTTTGCTGCTGCATTTTTTTTTTTTTTTTTTTTTTTTTTTTTTTTTTTTTTACAGTTGAGTAATCACCTGGACAAAAGAGAAGGTGAAACTATCCTACTGCAAAGAAACTACTCCAGGATGAAGAAGGTTGCCTGTATTTCGTCATTTCAGCCAAGGCGGAACACAGAGCAAGGCTGTCTGCACCGTGCTACCAACCTCTTCAGTCTGCAGGGCATTTGATATACCCACCACCTCCCATTGATTATGCGAACTCCGGTCACAGAATTCCGTGCAGCCCAGCCTCTGAGGGTGGGGCGTCCTGTCTCCGGGACGCCGGGTTTTCTCTGGAATGCCCCAGGGGTAGGAGGCGAAGGACACTGGCACGGCGGGCCTCCGGAGCCAAGAGGTGACCAGGCTGGCTGGGCAGGGCTGAGTGGCTGGGCCGAGCACGTGATGCTCCGAGCCTGCTTCCGAGGCCCTCTGTGCGCCTGAGGCTGAAATCGACATTTGCCTCTGGCAGGAAAATGAGCTTGTCACTTTCTGCCTTCATCAGACCCTCAACCCCAAGGAGCAGATTTCGGTAGCGTTTTAACTTTATATCTCAGAATCTGAAAGCGGAAGGTAAGCTGCTTATCACTCAGAAAAACAAATTTGAGAGGAGTGACCTAGTAAACTACACTGCGACTTTGTTGATTTTTAAAACCTGGTGTGGAAAATAATTGATCGCTGTGAGAGTCAAGGGCTGTATTTTTCCCCAAATTAGAGATTAATCTTCTGAACAGAAATTTGGTTAATTTGGAGGGAATGATGGCATAAGGGCCAGGGTTTAAATATAGAAGGACAGGAAAGCTGCTGGAATAAATAGCAAGTAAACTTAACTCTAACCTGCTTGTAAAACAATCGGTTTCATGTCTCTTTCAGGGCTGTGAACAAAGGGAATGTTAAAATTGTGATTTTTAACTCAAGTGAAAGTAAATGAATCTATTTGTCTGCAATTGGAATGCAAATAAAAGCAGTCTTTGCTTTTGTCCTTTTACATTTCAAAAACGCTTGTGTGTTTTAGCAAAAGAAAAGTTTATACGTGCACTGCTTAAGTTTGAAATATGCTATTTCAAATTTATGAAATTATCACAGTAGTAATTTTCTAAAGATTTTCTAGGCAAGGCTGTTTCAGTTTTGAATGAGAAATGTTGACATTGTACATATTTTCTGTGATAGTAAAATGACTCATTTCTTCAGAATGTGATGAAAATTAGAAAATGTGAAATAATGAGTTATTTTGAATTAAACTCATGTCTGAGAGATTAAAAGCCCTGCCAGAAGATGTAAGAAAGCACACAAATACAACCATGCTCACGTAATAGTGCTTTATTTTAAATCAACACATATTTAAGTAAGTAGAAAAACGCAGGATCACCATTTTTTCCTTTGGCAAATACAAATTAATATTAGAATGCAGCTATTCAGAGTAATTAAAGCATTATTCATCTGTACAATTCGTATAATGTTCCGTAATGAATTGCTTTGAACTAAAGTATTTGGTATAATAGATGATATACGACTTGAAACATGGAACCTCTATGCAAAGTGTGTCCATGCATGCTATATTTTGTGTCATTTTGATTTGTATAAAATGTTTATTTCTCAACTGCATTTGATAAATACTAATTTTAAAACAAAACATGAAATTGTATTTCCTTTCACTGTAATCCCCTTATTGCTAATTCTTCTGAAATCCTATTACACGCTTGGAGCCTGTAATAATTTGGATTTCTCCTCCTGTGTGTTGTTTTTCATAATTCTTCGTGAAAGGTCAGGCAAACTGCACACATCAAGCGAAACGCCCTGAGGGCCGGCCAACGCGAGGGTTTCGGGCCATCGCCCCTCACCTCCCGGGACTTCCAGGGTCTTCCCCCCAACCCGGCGCGGATTTCTCCGCCTCGCCCGAAGGGGTCACGTGGCAACGTGGGGCCCGCCTCCCGGTGACGTCACGGCGCTCGCAGCCGTCGCGCTGAAGAAAGGATGCTCGAGGATGCTGTCCAGGTGGGCGGCCGTGGGCGCGATGCGGCACTGCAGGTAAGGGGCGCGCGGCGCCCGGACGCCCTCCCCGGCCTCCCCGGCGGCGCGGACGCTGCAGGTGAAGCCCGGCCCGCGGGCCTGCAGCCCGGCTGCGCCCCCAAAAACCAAAGTGGGGCCTCTGGCTGCTGCGGCGCCTGCTGCCCACAGCTGCTTGATGCAGCTGCATGCACCCGGCAGGGGATGGCGCGTGGCAGGCCCACGCATGACATGGGTCTTGGCGTGCCCGCTCCGAGAAGGTGGGCAGGGGCCAGACAGAAAGACAGGGGGAAGGAAAAAAAACGCTCCGGAGGGGGAACAAAATCTGAAATGACCACACTGCATGCATTCTAAGTAGAGAGAGGGGCTTTTAAGAGGTACCTATCAACTGTTTTCCTACTATCATTCTGCTTCTTAAATAATGACATGGTTACTAATTACAGGCCTTTGTTCTCAGTAATTAGCCTCATTTCTTTCAAAGCAAAAGCGGACTGGGGAATGGAAACTTCTTGGTTAGCAATTTAAGAGCCAGATGTGCAATCTAAATTGCTTTGCATTATTTTGCAAGGTTCCAGCATTTACAAGGCATAGGTCAGAAATGTATCTTTTCTCCTTCCAGGTGTTTTAAGTAGATTAAAAAATAACAGTATCCAATAAAATAAAAATAAATTGCAGCCTCCGAAGATAACATGTGAGTGTAAGAGACGGCTACATCTCTAAGAACCAAATGATCTTTAGCAGAGGGTGGTGGTGGAGATAACAGCAAAACCTGAGGATTCCCACAGTTCTTTTTAATTCCCTCGCTGATCATTCGCATGCTGAATGGAGGGGCTTGATGACTCAGCGGCAGATGGGGGGGTCAGGTGACTTCAGTTCTAGCATGACAGTGGGTGGGGGATTTTAATGGACTCTTTCTACAGCGTTTACATTCCTTTCTCTGGGTCAGGAAGAAACTGTAGCCAGGACTTGTGTGGGCACCCTTAGGGGGAGAATGTGGCTTTTTTTTCCCCTCTAAAACCTGATCCTTCTGGAAGCTTTGGTGTCAGTAAACTGTATTGGAGCTCACATTATGAATAATTTGATCCACCAGCAACGCTGGGGGGCCTGTAAAGCAATGCTATTTTCATCAATAATTAAAGGAGGCATTTCTTTCAGAATTTGGGACACCCAGATGTGTTGCTGCAGTAATTTAGTAACTTGTTTGTTGCAATATTCTTCCTTTGGTTCAGTTTGGTTACAACAATTAAGATCCTCCGGTCCCTACCCTCCCTTGTCCCCCAGCCCAGCCCTAGATAGAGCAAAGCAGATGATAGAGGTGGATCTAATAGAGACCTAGATTCCACTTCTGGCTTTGTGGCTGTGCAACCTTGGACAAGTCATTGTGTCTTTGGGCCTCGACTATCTTGTCCTCAAAGTAACAAAGGGATTTAGGTCAGCGTGTCTCAACCTTGGGCACTACTGGCATTTGGGGCCAAATAACTCCTTGTGGTGAGGCTGTCCTGTGCTTGTAAAATGTTTAGCAGAATCCCTGAGCTCCACCTACTAGATGCTAGTAGCAACAACCCCCCACTGTCCCCCAGTTGTGACAATCAAAAATGTTGCCAGACATTTTCAAATGTCCTCTCAGGGCCCCATTGCCCCCTGTTGAGAACCATGGATTTAGATGATCTCTACATGTTTTTTGGGCTCCAGGAATTTGATTGGTTTATGATTGGTTTGTTGCTAAGCCCTTGATCAGAAATCTGATTTCCTTTCTTAATATTGTATATATTGGAAAACACACTGTGAAGGTGTTTTTATGCTGTGAATTTCCAGAAATAGCTTCTGTGAAAGGGGGAGGAGCTGTTTGTATGCCATTTGTAGCTGGGAGGCTAGCTTGGCAGAAGGGAGTGTGTTAGGGAAAGAGATAAAAAACAGAGCATTAGATGAATGTGTGTTGAAAGCTGCCGGGGCTTCGTGCTCAGCAGACCTGGAGCATGTCCCTGGGCATACTCACTCTAACCCTGGGTTAGACCTAACAGCGGAGAGTCTATTTCCTTATCTGCAAAAATGGGAATAACAGTGTCGACTCGGAGGTGCTGTGAGGATGAAATGACACGATATCTGGTGCTGGTGTGGGACATGGTTAGGATAAGAGGGTGGTGGTGTCTATGCAGCTAGCAGGAGGCAAACACAAACTGTCTGTACCACCAGCAACAGGGACACTCGCTCAAGGGAGACATGGTCGTGTGCTTTAAGCATCAGTCCAGGGCTTGCATCTAAAGATCTGGCTTTGACACTTAGGAGGGTGACTGTGGCTGCCTCACTTCACCTCGAAGAGCTGCTGGCGAATCTGTAAAGCGGGGGCCAACTGTACTTGCTGAGTCTGCTTCTTGGCTGTTGGGGAGAGACGGATGGAAGTGAGAGGGTCTGCAGGCTGGGAAACTCCTGAGAGACAGGAAGCAGGGATGGCAGCCGCATTGACATGTTTATTGTGTTTGTGTATGTGGAGGGTGCTCAGAACGGCCAGAAAACATTTCCTTGTGCCCCAGGCTTGGAACTTTGATGTGTCCCTCCCCTGCGTTCCCTTGCTATCGGCTTGCGCGGTCTGTCTGTCTGTCTGATCTTTCCTGGCACCATGAAAATGGTCTTCTGGAGGAGTTGGGAAAGCCCTGCTGGGGAGGTTGGTCTTCGGTGAGGGAGACCCACTGTGCAGAGGGCTGGGGTGAGAGCAGCTGGCTTCATCCACTCCCCATGCCGCTGTCCTCACAGGCTTCAGTCCATGGCCATCCCAGGGCAGGCCTGTCATGCTCCTATGTGCCTCCGGTGGCCTTGGTACTCTGAGTGAGCCATCTGGCTTTGTCTCTTCAACAAGGCAATAACATGAAAGACAATTTTAAAAAGGGAGATGGGTTATTCTCTATCAAATGAGACTTAAGAGACTGAATAGCCAAACATCACTTGTGGCCCTCAGTTGGATTCAGATTGAACAAACATATGTAACAGGCATTTTGGGGACACCTGGAGACTCTTTGATGTGACTGGCTATTAGATGACATTAGAAGACTGCTGCTGCTTTGATTAGATGTGATGATCTGTGATGCGGTTGCAGCCCCTCAGACAGACGCAGTGATCCCCATCCCTGGCAGGTGCAACTCACCCTCTCCCCTGGGGTTTGGGCTGGAGCAAGTAATGAACTTCCAATGAAGACAGTATGGCAGCAGGGGGTGGGGTGGCACTTCCGCCATTAGGGTGTGAAGGGGCTTCCGCCTGAGGCGTGTTTTCTCTCTTGGATTGCTTACACTGTGGCGGGATCAGCCCTACAGAAGGGTCCATCTGCCATGGTGAGGACCCGAGGCACATTCCAACAGCCTGAGAAGAACTGAGGCCTGCTGACAGTGTGAGGGTGTGAGTGGGCTTGGAGGTAGGCTCTTCAGGCCCAGTTGAATCTTTTTTTTTTTTTTTTTTTTTGAGCCAGAATCTTGCTCTGTTGCCTAGGCTGCAGTGCCCGTGGTGTGATCTCGACTTACTGCAACCTCTGCCTCCTGGGTTCAAGCAATTGTCATGCCTCTGCCTCCTGAGTAGCTGGGACTATAGGCACACACCACCACGGCTGGCTAATGTTTGTATTTTTAGTAGAGATGGGATTTTGACATGTTGGACAGGCTGGTCTTGAACTCCTGACCTCAGGTGGTCCACCTGGCTTGGCCTCCCAAAGTGCTGGGATTACAGGCATGAGCCACCATGCCTGGCCCCAGTTGAATCTTGAGATGGTTGCAGCCTTGTAAGACAGCTTGAGCTGAGGTATCAGCTAAGCCACTCCAGGGTTCCTGATACAGAAACAGTGACACGGGACATGTTTGTGTCCTGCTGCATGCTTTGGGGTAATTTGTTAGGCAGCAGTAGATAGCTAATACATGTGTTTATGTAGAAAAGTCTTATTTTGTAGAGATGCATGCTGAAGTGTTTAGAGACAAAGTGTCATGGTAGCAATCATTTACTTTTTTTCTTTTTTAAAAATGATTTTTTTAGATCTCTTTAATGTATAATTTAACAGAAGACAGTTGAATTCTCATACTTGGTTCTACATTCAATCTGTCTCAATATCACATGTGATGTAGCCTCTAGACAATTCCACTGTATGCTCACGAGAGAATGAGCTTAGAAAAAGGCAATTAACAATGTCAGAATATTATGAAATGTTTTTGACATTATGGACCCCCTTAAAGGGTCTTGGGGAGCCCAAGGAGTCCCAGACCACACTTTGATAGCTTCAAGATCAAGAATTCACTTTTTTTTTTTTTTTTTAAATGGAGTGTCAATCTGTGGCCCAGGCTGGAGTGCAGTGGTGCAACCTCGGCTCCTGGGTTCAGACAGTTCTCCAGCCTCAGCCTCCCAAGTAGCTGGGATTACAGGTGCCCGCCACCATGCCTAGCTAATTTTTGTATTTTTAGTACAGACAGGGTTTCACCATGTTGGCCAGGCTGGTCTCGAACTCCCAACCTCAAGTGATCCACCCACCTTGGCCTCCCAAAGTGCTGGGATTACAGGCGTGAGCCACCACGTCTGGCTAATAATTCACTTTTAAATGGTTCAGTTAAATGAAGAGAGAGAAAGAGATAAAGCAGGTAAAGCCAAATGTAAACAAGTGTTCAGGCTGACTGGTGTTATTCATTGGATTCTTCTGCATGATGTTCTGTGTAATTGAAAGTGTTCATAATGTTAAGAAAAAAGAAAAGAAATGTAGACCCTTAGACATGTTGGAGATTCTGATTGAGTAGGTCTAGGGGTGAAGCCCAGGGCTTAACCTGTGCTCAGGTGCCCAGAATAACATGGGCCAGAGCTCCCAGCCACTTTGCCCCAGAGGTCCTCGCCTTACCTGCCTTCTCTCCACCTGTCACCTCCCTTGCTCTACCAGACCAAAGGGGTTTAGTGTGATGACCCATCTCTTCTACTGACCTGGGAGAAGAGGTGTGTGGGGATAGTCCCCCTCCTGCCTCTTCCCCCATACATACTTTCCCTTGGTAACAAGACCTTTGTTT